TATAAAGTTAAATGTTATGACTTCTTATATTGTTATTTCATTATAATCCATCAGATCGATGTAATTATTTTGTTATCCCTAGATGGCATTCAGTATGGTCATCGGATATCCTTCCGCAGCAGAAACTGCAGAAAAAGAGCAGTATTGCCCTGACAAATGCAAACAACTCGACGAAGTGAAGCCCCACGGAGCTGGGTAAATTGTTGGCTTAACAAATTGCTAATCCACTTTCACCGGGACGGGGGGATTGGGGATTGGGACAAGGGAATGCATTTGAATGCTTCTCGAACCCTCAAAGTGGTGGGCAATCTGAGAGAGCTGCTTTGAAATCCATTCGAGACTGTAGCCCCGGAAAAAGCCCCTCTTCACAAACTTTTTATGTTTACATCAAAGGGAGCATTTATCTGATATGATTAAGTTGCAGTTCCATAACACCCAAATGCATAATAAGTGAATCCCGAAAAGTTTCTGATTTAATCTAGTTGCATTTGCTCAAAGTTGTAGGTCATAGGTGTTGCTCTAGATTTGTTTTCATGCCAAAAGACTGAGTTGAAAATATTTAAATTAAATTTTGCTACGAGTAAGTAGTGCTTTCAACTCACTCAAAGGTCATCTCACTTGGCTTTCAAGAAAATTAGTTTTAAATTAATTAAAAGATTTTCCCATAACTGTGCGCTGTGCGGCTCTTGATGGCGTTGGAAAAGTGAGGCCAGGCGGAGAAAGAATGGTAAAACTTGGATAATCATCCCAACCGCAACGCCCACTTTTTCCAAGCGGTTGGGTGACCTCCGCCCCAAAGAACTCAGCTCACTTTTTAATAGTTCGCAAACCACGAAAGGCTATGTGAGTTTAAACACTGTTACAAATACTTTTCCGGAGGCGGAATGTGTGCGCAACTGGAATTACGCAGCAGGCGCAATCCGGAAAACTTCCTCGCCGTTCTGTTCCTTTCTTTTCTTATCCACTTTTATGTAGTCCTTAAGTATTTATTTGCATTTCAACTTTGTGCTGGCAAAGCAATTATTTCAGCAAAATTAAACATTACAAAATACTGTTTAATTAAAGATAGGCTTTAAGTAAATACAACTAAATGCCCATTCGCCCTTTTTTTCCAGCGGAAATTTAAAAATGTAACCAAGCGGAAATTACGAAATATACAAATATTATAAATCCATTTAAAGTTAAACAACAAATCTTCTTAAGTAACTGGAGACAACTCAGGGTCGTCAAATTACTAAATAAATATTTTTGCAAGCATTTGTATGTTTGCATGTTGAGTTGCGAAAGGAAATTACCCCGTGAGAAAGGAACTGGGTATATTGGGGGTCGTAGGACCGCCATCAGCTGTTTATGCTTTCATCCCCAATGTTCGCCGTGCGCTGTCGAAAAAAGTTAACTCAACTCGACAAAACACTGGCTGACTTTACCTTTTAAAGTGTTTCCTTACAAAGTGAAGTTTAGTTACCATTTATTAGAAAAGTTTGTAAAATGTGGTTACCTGTGGTGAATACATTTTTGTCCTAATAAGTGGTTAGTTAAAACTTTTAATGGATGGATGTATTTTTGAGAATATTTTGTAATATTACAGTGAAAAGTAAGGTTTAATCAGCTAAGATGGTCTAGTAATAAGATGCCTCTAATATTTCTAGTAACTTAAAAATGCATGTTGGTAGGGAGAAACATATGGGGAAATCCCTAGCTTTATAGACAGTTCACATGGGGTTGTTTTCACCGGTTCTCGCTTGTTGCGGTGGCATGGTATATAGGGTATGGATATGGATGCCAACCCCCGAGGAACTCCAGTTGCGCTCTCCATTCGCTACCTGGCCCCTGATTAATTTAGTCTGGGTCTCTCACTTTGTTCTGTTTTCTTTTCTGCCAGGTACCCACAGGGTATACGTACACCATGACATGTGTTCTTCTACAGAGTGGGTGAGTGGGGTGTGTGGGGGTGTGGGATGTTACTCGGGTGTCCAGGGGGCGGTGGTGCATTTCTAAGCGAGTCAAATTGAATGCAACGAAGACCTGTGACATCAGATGTCCATGGTATATGGGCATGAACGTAATTAGAAAAACATCGGTGTACAGCTGTGAAAAAAATAATAGCACCACTAACCCAAAAAAACTTTAACTAGTCACCCTACTCACATTTTTTAACTTTTTTAACTTTTCAAAACGGGTTTGAAATAGTAAGACTAAACATAATTTGAATATGAAAACAAATGTTAGCTTTATAAAAGGTTTCTGGACTTATTTAAGAAAATCTATGCAAAACTGGAAAAACGTACGAAAAAATAATAGCACCACTTCTCTAAAAATAGAATAAAAGGTAGAAAAATGACAAATGGGTAACTTAATCTTTAGTTGGCGGTAGCTAACAAGTAAATCTAAGTTTAAAGTGTAAATATCTTTTGCGATTTTTGGATATAATGACTTACTATCGATTAAACAAGTCAGGACCCTACCTATAAAGGAATTGGGGCCCAAAAGTCATGATATATTTTCAAATTTATTCGGAAATGATTTAAGACGTTTTAGATTAACTGTTTAAGCTGTCTTAAAAAAAAAACTAGAAGATTTTTGGTTGTGTTATGGTCAAGCGAGTACACAAGTCAATGTATATTGCTTACTGAGTACTTTCGAACTCTTTCTTTGCTATCCTGACCGTGATCCTGGCCGGATTTTATTGGTCAAAGATTCATTTAAGAAGTATTTTGTATTCAGTTTAAGCTACGAATTACTACCGTATTACTATTTACATCATAGGATGATTCATGAACGATGTATTCATCCGTATTGATCTTACTTCAAGAAGGAAAAACAAGCCTATGTTAATACTAGGTCCATGCTCAATAAATGGATGTTTTGGTACCATGTTTTTGGTCAATTTAGGTGTTTAGAAGACACATGACTTATAAAAAGGATTTCTTCTTACCCAATTTAACTTTGCCTTCACACATTCTCATAAGTTTGCGGGCATTCATTTGTAACTTTTTTTGACGAGCCCTATGCCCTTGTAAATGTGTTTCGCATTTCGGATAGGATTTTTTTTTTAAGTGCATGTTTTATAAATTTGTTTATTGAAACATTATCCAATTATTAAAATATTCGCTATTATTTTAAGCGCGTGTTTTAGTTTAGTTTTGGCCCTGATAAGATTCTTTGTGCTTTGTGATATAACATTTTGGAAGGAAAAATGGGCCAGGACTCGGTTTTTCTGTGTTATCCTTCAAAGTTTATGCCATTCTTAATGAAGATGATCCAAAACCTAACCAATCGAACCGGTTTTCATGACCGTTTTCCATCCAATATGTTTCTTTTTTGAATATTTTTCTTTTCCGACTTGGAAAATTTTCAACATGTTGTTGTATTGCCAAATGGTAATCAATTTGATATCTGGATATCAGGAGAAGTTAGTTTTAGTCAAATCTCATAAAATATATCCTTTATACACAAGAATATTAGCGCATCGTAACGTTTTATTTAAAGAAAACGGAAGTGGTGCTATTATTTTTTTCGGCCTTTTTTTGACTTTTTTTCTTAAAATCTGAAAAAATTATATGTAGACAATATTTTCGATATCCGTATCAATTTTTTCAAATAGGTGGAATACTAATCAAGATAATAAAAAACACTTCTTATATAAAAATCCCCGTTTTCCACATATTTCTTTAATATTAAGAACCTGTGACGAAGTGGTGCTATTATTTTTTTCGCAACTGTACATGGGTTTGTGTGTGAAGCCACCAGGAAGTTCGGAAATAAAAAAGAGTAATTGGTAAAACCAACTGCAAGTCATAGTCCATTTGTTGCCAACTTTGATGCAATGCAGTTAGGAGTTGGCTCTTGAATTTTAAGCTTGGCTGGTTCGGTATAGCTAAAAAAATATATACTATAAATGTTCTTTCTTTAAATTTATCCCATTAACACATTTTACAATAGGCTTTAAATTTAGCTATCTAAAAACACGCCACAAAAAGTAACCCTTGTTTTTCTAAAATCTGCTTAGATTTCAATGCAATTATTGTTAAACCAATTCTAATGACAGGCCCAAACGGAAGCCATCCTAACAGTCAAAGGATACTGGGGAAATTAAAGAAATCTGACGGATTTCCATTGTCGGCTTTTCCGCCCTCTGTCTGCCTTGCAATTGACCACTTTTGTGCTTGACAAAAGGAGAGACAGGCCAACAAAGGGGAAAAGCTCCACAAAGGAAATTCAATTTAATGGGTTTTGAATGTTGAGATTACTGGACCCTTTGAATGTTCTTTGGGAATGCTTTTAATGAAACAACAAATTTGTTTATCAATTAAAATTCATAATTATGCACCTTTTAAAAAAAATCGTTTTCAGTGAAATTGTAAAATTATAAAAACATAATGTAACGGAAAATGCATTCCAGAAAATGATGAAGAATATCGATCCACTAATAACGCACCCAAAACCTTTGTTTAAATATTTATTAACGTATGAGGCGCTAGCACGCAAAGATGGTGTTTTGGCAATCAGAATTATTCAACCCCTTTATATTTCCCCCATAAACAATTAGAAACCTTTTACGAAAACTTTAATACTGTTTTGTAAATAAATAACATTGTTTTTAAAGTCTGCTCTTAGTGATTAATGGCTATTTCATATCGATCTCCCAATTCTGTTAGCGCCGACTTCCTTTACATATTCACAAATGGATGAGCTGTTCACACGCAACTTACTTGAATGATAAATCAATTCGGACAATTAGATTTATGTTCAAGAATGAGATTTATTTTTGAAATTAGATATTTTGTGGTTCTGCACTCTCGATTTAAATACAACAGAGTTCCTTGTTGATTCTAGTTTTCCTTGGCATTGATTATCCCATACCTGTCGACGGCAGTTTGGAAAAAACACCCCGAATCGCCTGCAATTTTTGAAACACCACCAAAAACGAGAGGCGAAAAACCAAACCAGACAGTCGTATAAAAAGGTTCTTATAACTGCAATGAGATCACTTCACTTACCAAACAAACAGATGATATATGTATGTAGTTCACTATACGGCGATGCTTTTGATGTGTTCACTTAGCACTTAAGTATCTCTACAGAACCTTTTGGCTTAATCCCGAAAGCCCTTGAGTTTGGTCCGAAAATCGAAGCCAGACAAAGGCCGAAACACTCGTTATGGCCATTTGGAGGACCTTTGTTCACTAACGTTCGGTAAATTCAATTTTGACAATTTTCAAGTGACACTTGACGGCGGCACAATCCACGAGATACAATTGCATCCGGATAGGAGCGATTCCCGTGTGAAGTATCTACGAGATGCGGCAAAAAAGGTGGCGGAGCCAAGCGGACCGGACTTTCACCCACGAACAGCGACGGCAGCAAACTGACTGCCACGCGACTTTGAGCCACCGGCCAGAGCCAAAATAAAGCCACGAGCGCACGGCCGAGCACGAGGCGCCAGGACATAAACAGGACTCAGCACTTCAAAGGAGTCGTCGTGAAAAAAGCGAGAGGCGCACGCCACCGCTGGTGTGAGGACTGCGCAGAGAGAGAGAGGCGAAAACGATGAGAGCGAAAACGAAGGATGCACGGTGGTTGATTTCCCGCCCGGCGAGGGGGTGGCTCGAGTAGTTGGGTGGTTGGGTGGTTCCGAGCTCGACATGTCATGTTGTGACGCCGTCTGCTGCGAGTTTCACTACAGCCAGCCGGTCGAAAGGGGGTGGAAAGGCTGTTGCCGGCCAGTTTAACTCTCGGCCATCTGAAAAATTCGAAGCAAATTAATCCCAAATCTGCATGCCTAAATATGTGCGCCACCTAGATTGATATTGGATTTTGGTTGCGAATTACTTGATAAGTAGTATATGTAACTAGACAATAAACTAGATAACAAACTAGAACTTGAATAATTTTGTATGCTTAAATCTAGTATGGACATTTAACTGATGAAAATCTTATGTACATTAAATACGTACAGTTAATGCAAAATTTAAATCAGTAAATTTTTAAATATTAAATATTAATATTTGTTAAGTAACTATAACTAACCTCAAACAATACTATAGTTTTTAAATGCCAATTTAGAAACATATATTTTTTATAAAGAGTACGTAAATCTTTAATGAATAAACACAAATTCAAGTCGGTTTACTTGCAATACCGATCGGCTTTCATTTTACTGCGTCTGTCCAAAAGCGTTTCATGCAGGGAGCCCTGAGCCTTGGCATCTTCGAGTTCTTTTACATCGTTTTGATTAATCCGCATCTTCTTGTCCTGGAACTTTTGGAATTTTTTTCTATAGGGGACAAATGGGTTTTTTGATAAAAATATTCTTATACTGGATGTCTCAAAAAAAATCATACAAGTTCTACTTCGTTGTACTTACACGTAATTCTTTTCAACTTCGTTCAAGTCCCCCTTTTCTTCCTTGGGCTCTGTATCGATGACAACATCCCTGGTGGCATTACTCCGCACTTTACAGATCTCATACTGCCCAACCTTCTTTCGCAATGCCACACAAGCATCGTCTTCGGGATCGATGGACATAAAGTGGCCGGTTTCGGAAAGCAGGGCCATACGTTTTTCCTTTGAAAATAAATTGGATTAAATATACCATTAAAAGCGGGCTTTAATTAAATGTCGCATACCTCGAAAACGGGCTCCCACTGTTCCATGCTGCCCACCGCTTCGGATCGTCCTGTTACCATGCCATCTTTTTCGATTTTCAAGTACTTGCCATAGCCGGATTTAAAGGCTACCTTTCGGTCGTTGATAAGAAAGACGGTGAAAATCTCTTCAGGATCTGGACCATCACCAGCATTATGAGGTGCTCCTAACGTGAAAAGACTGAAATATTCATATATTAGTAATTAATGTAGGGTGGATTGGATTTTATGAATCAAGAAACAAGTAACCAAGTCTTACCCATTATCCATGGCTTTCAGGTAACATCTATCGCCAAACTCAATGGACACAGTTCCCATTATGTCAGCAGCTGTCTTTGCTGCCCACCAGCCACCATGATCCACTGCATCCTGATCCACCACAATCTTGGGCTTTTTGGAAGATCCCGCCTCATCCTTATCCTTCTTTCGCTTTTTGCTTTTCCTGCAATAGATGATTTTTAATAGTTGTACTACAAAGATGCAATAAGATATGATTACTTATGTTTTTCGCCCTTCAAAACTAGTTTCTTGATGCGTGCATGATCGTAGTCAGACATAGTCACAGAAATTTAACTATTTATTAATTATTTAATCCAAATAACAATTAAAACATGCGATAAAACCTAGTTTGTTTTGGTTTTTTGGTCAACAATAGTATGCCCGCCGTGGAGTTTACTATAAAATACTTCTTTCGTTTATTAAAACACTGCAAAAATACCACTGAAATAGCTAAATATTATAGCCCATTCCAACAGGGTACCATATTTTTGCTAGACTGCCATCCAATATTAATGAACGTTTTTTAAAGATATTTAAACGATTTTTTTTCGGTAAAAACCACTACTTTTCTAATTACAAATAAGAAATGTGGAGTAATTTGTTTTTTTAATACTTTTAAATAAAATGCAAAACAGTCCGCCATAATTTGCCATTCCCATGTCCGCGCATCAACCGCATTAAAATCTGGTATTTTTGAAAAACAAACAATGGTAGGTAGAGTCGGTATATGTTGGATGACCACTCCAGGGTCACTCTGTGCTTAGCTTTGGTTTTTCATGATGGCATAAACATTATCCGGAAACGTACATGAAACCGCAACCGCCGCGCTGGTGCACCGCTGCAACCGACGAGGACGTCCGCCCGCGCCGCCCAATCGATATTACCGCTCGGCGAGGGAAAGCGCAGCGTGGAAACTCGGCAACGCGGCGCCGCCATTGAGAGAGCAGAAAAAGAAAAGCGTGTGCTCCCGCAAACAACAGGAAAAAACCAACGAAGGGGGAGGTGGAGTGAGTGGAGAAAAACCGATTTGAGGTCGCCGGATGTGAAAATGTCGCAAGCAACTGGAGGATCGGCCGCCGGAATGGCGGACGCAGCGAAGCCGCCGGAGGAACTCCAGGACCTTGACACCAATAGTCTGGAGCCGGGCGAAGTGGTGACCCCGCCCCATCAGCATCCTGGCAGTCCGGCCATCAAGAAGCAACTGGCCAAGGACCTGATGATCAGCAAAACGTTGCGAAAGATACCAGGTGGCATTCTGGAACTGGCTCGCAAGGAGAATGGCTCTGTGGGAACGCCAAAGACCCAAGCCGAAGAGGCAGACGACAGTGAGGGGCTCTACTCGGACTCGGACTCCTCGGGCGAGGATCTGAAGAACGTGGAGGATGTACAGAAGGCCAGGAAGGAGAAGCAGGAGGAGGCGGCAGCTGCTGCCCTTCCCCAAGCTCCACCCACGCCCTTTCTGGGCATCAATCCCCTTAGATTCCACATGCGCGCTCCTTGCTTCGACTTTCCTCGCATGGGCTTCATGCCCCGAATGGCCAGGGGTGGACCCATGGGGCCCAGGGGCATGAGACCGCCCTTTTTTGGCCGCCCGCCCATGCAAAATCGTATGGGAGCACCCATGATGGGTGGACCCCCGAACCAAGGACCTCCGCCGGGAGCCTACGGACCGCAGAATCCTCCGGGACCAGGAAATAACAGCAATTCCGCTCGTGGCAAGCGATCCCAATCGGAAGTGGTGTAAGTAAATACCATAATCACATTGGAAATCGAGTTATAAGGGTTTTCTTTTTCAGATGGACATCATTGCAGCCGCCGGTGTCCTTTGTCTTCAATCTGGTTTCCGAGTGCTCGAATTCAAAGCATGAGAATTGTAGGAGTAAAGCTGAAACCGCCGCAGACAAATCCAAAGAAGCCACCAGCGAAACAAAGGACAAGACCACTGAGCAGTTAAAAGAAAGTGATCGTTCGAGGGGCAAGACCAGGGAAAAATCCCAGCACAGAGATGCCACAAGAGGAAAAACCAGAGAAAGAACCGAGGAGAAAAATCCAAACCGTGGAAAAACTAGAGAGCGGTCAAAGGAAAGGGATTTAACCAGAGGAAAGACACGGGAAAAATCAAAGGACAGGGATGCAAGCAGAGGAAAGGGAAGGGAGAAGTCAAGGGAGAGAGGAAAAACTCGGGAGCGATCCAAAGAAAGAAATCAAGCCAGTGCAAAAAAGAGAAAAATATCAAGAGAAAAAGATCAAACTGAAGGTGAAACTAGGACGGCAGCAGGGGCAGAATCCCAGAGAAGAGATAAAACCAGAGGAAAAACCGAAGACCGATCCAGGGAGAGAGACAAAACTAGGCCCAAAACACCTGAAAGATCACAAGCCAGAGATCAAAGCAGAGGAAAGACTAGGGTCAGGGAGCAGACGAGAGCGAAGTCAAAGAAAAGGTCCAGATCCAGAGAAAAGCGTCGAGAAAAATCCAATGAAAAGTTAGGCGATAAAGAGAAGAACAGAGATTTATCCAAGGAAAACGTGAGTGATAAATCCAAAGTGCATAGGGATGAATCCAAGGACAAATCCAAGGAATCGCACAAGGAAAACGCAAGTAATAGGCATCGCGAAAGATCCAAGGACAGGGTTAGAAAACGATCCAAGGAAAGATTGCCAGTAAAAACATCAGAAGCCAAACTAAAAAAAGATTTCGTAGAAAGTCCAAAAGAAAAGCCCTCAGAACGAAAAAAGGATACACTGCCGGAGCAATTAGTCGAAACAATAGAAGAACGTTCAAAGGATAAGCAAAAAAAGCGATCTGGAGATATGCAATCAACAAAAACCTCGAAAGAAAGCGGAAAGGAGCACTCGAAGGAAAAGTCTAAGGAAGAATATGAGAAGAAATCCGGGAATCTGTCCAAAGAGAAGGAGGTTGGTACTCACAGGGAAAAGGGTTTGGATAGATCAAAAAGAGCAGCAACGCCGCATGAAACGTCGAACAAAACTGCCTTCGAAAGTGACCAAAACTCGAAGAAACAGAGCGAGGCATCTTCTTCATGGGAGAGCAGAGAAGGAACTCCGCCAACGACACCGCCCCAAGTTCAAATGCCTCAGACTCAAACTGCGGAAATGCCGATCCCCAAGGGTTTCGATATATTCGCCGATTCTCCGCCAAGATTAAACACTGCCGTTACAGCTGCAGCTGTATCTATCGAAAGGAGCACTACGCCGCCATTAAAGGCGACACCCCTATCCATTCCTAATGTACAAATTGCGAAACCCGACAAGTTGGCTCCACTGCTCAAGGCCAGCGAGATTCACAGTAGGATTGGCGCCCTGCTCGAGGACAGTGATTTGCATTTGGATGCCCTACTGGCTACCAAGGAACAACTGTTTCGTCGCACCAACGAGTACAAGGAGAGAAAAGAGATTAAATCAGAGCCTCGGCCTAAAAGTAGCGATAGGAGGTCAGGCGGAGATAAAACGGAGGTGGATCATCACAAAAGCCAACCACGACATACAAACCCCTTTAAGCGTGAATCAGTATTAAGCGGTAGGAAATCTTCCCCGCGTCCTTCAAGCAAGGAGAGGCGACTTCAACGAAACGACAGTGAAAGTGAAGTGAATTGGGACAAAGACCAAGAGCGAAAAAGCCAGCCTAGACGCAGTGATGACTACAAAGCAATCAGCATTAAGATTGAAAAGGATCTTACGCCCCCGCCTCAACAAGCAGTCCTTTCGACAGGCACCATCAAAATCGAACGGAGTGCCACGCCCCCCCGAAAGGCAGATCGCGAGGTGCTGGTAAGAAATGGTGCAGTGGCGGCCAATGCTCCCCCTCCCGCAAAAGAGCAGGAAAGTCCCGATACGGATGACTATATTGACAACTGGGAAAACGACGATTCAATGGCCAGCATGCCGAAGAACGCCCCTCCCGCTACTCCGACGCCTGCTCCAAATCCCATTGCCTCTCTGAATGCCACGCCCCTGCCACCACCAGCTGCCCAATTCAATGGCGAAGATGAGGATTCGAATGCCCTGTGGAATGCCAACAGCACACCCCCTCCTCGAGCCAAAGTTTCGAGCCTGGCCACGAGCAATATCCATGAGTTATATGACAAATTCATGAGTAGTATTAAGATGTCCACCGATGATTTGGCGTCAGAAGCCCTGGATGCGTCCAAGAACAGTTCCTTAAGTAATTCCACTGCCGAGGAAAGTTCGTCGGGCACTGAGACTTCGTCAACGAGCAGCAGTAGCAGCGAAACCGAGGAGGATTCTAGTTCAGAGGACGAAGATGCCAATGAGAACTCTTCGGATGAGGAATCTCTTGCAGCATCAGGTAGTTCCAAAGCGAATCAATATGATATCTCCGGCAAGGAGCAGCAGCAGAAAAAGAACAATGTCAGCAAGGATTTGCGCAAACTGAAAAGCCTCGAAGACAATCTGGCCAGAATTCAGATGATGCGAGAAAACTACGATGCGGGCGATGAGATATCCGAGGAACTGCTCAAAATGGAATCCCTGTTTCTCATGCAGCGGAATGCCATCATGGATAAGTATCGCAAGCAGGAACTTAAGAACAGTTCGTGTGAGAATCAACAGCCAATAGATGAACAAGAAAACGATCAGAAGCCAGTGGAGATTAAGGAGCCAACGTTCCCGGTAAACAACATCTTTAATGCCAATCGTGAGGCCATCAAACTGACCATTTCGCCTCTGAAACTCACAAGGAAACCGGCAATTTTCGACAAGGATGAACCAGATCAACCTGAGCCATCCAAACTCGCTGAGCAGCCACCTAAGGCACCGCTGCAAAAGCCACCGAAGGAGATTGCCATTGTGAAACCCACCATTGTTAAATCTCGATCAAAGCCTAGGACCTTGAGGAGTCCACCGCCGCCTATGACAAGTCGTCGTAGATCCCGTTCGCGGTCTATATCCAGGAATAGGGCCCGTCGTCGCGGCTCGAGGGCCAAGTCTCGTTCTCCTAGCCCCAGACGCTGGCGGCCTCCGTCGCCAAGGAGAGGTTCAAGATACGGCAAGAGAATGGTAGGAATAACAGCCGGAGGAACTAAAATAGGAAGAAGTAACAGCCGGAGTTTAACAAGGAGTCGAACGCGTAGTAGAAGTCCAAGCAGACGAAGACGTCCGCCACCAATAGTTGGCAATAGGAAACGCATTTCGTTGTCTCCTATTCCACCCAAAATGGCTGGACCACGGTCACCGCCTCCACCCCGCCTGCGTCGCTCACTAAGTCGCGATAGGGAGCGAGAACGGGGGCGAGAACGCTTCTCTCGCTCGCGTTCCCCGTTGCCCTTCAAGCCGCCATCGCCGCCCATGCGTCGCAGTTGGTCCAAATCTCGTTCACCAATCAGGCGGAGATCGTTCTCGAGGTCGAGATCCCGCTCTATATCCCCAAGATCTCGGTCACCTGGTGGCGATGGGTTCGTAAACTATTTCGAGGAGAATCAGGGCATGGAAGCGGCTGCCTACTACTACAATATGTCGCTGATGCAGCAGGAGGATCAGGACACAATGGGCGAGGGCTATGATGCGTATGCAGCATACATGGACTCTGCCTACAACATGGAACAGGCGTATGCCCAGTACTCAGAAGATTACTCGAATTCGTATGGGGATTATATGGCTGAAATGGCTTCGTCACCTCAGCCACCTGGATCGGTTCTCCGAGAACTTCCTATGGCACCGATGGTGCCTATGGAATCCCATATTCCCATGGAACCGATACCTCAAATGCCGCCGATAATGCCGCCTTTGTCATCGGTAATGCCGGTGGCTGTGCAAAAGGGCAACGTTTTGGAGATAGTGCCCTCCGGCGCGGAGATAATGGAACCCCAGGAGAACCCACTGCCAGCTGCAATAGAGGAGCCAATGGAAAACAATAGGTATGACGAACGATTCGTTTTTTGAATGTAACCTTATACTCCCTTATACTATCAATTTAGTAAGCACTCCTAATTATATACGTTTCTTTTCAGTAAACCCAAGCGGAAGAGCGTGAACTTTGTGGATAACGTAATGCCCACCTACGAGAGCGACAGCGAGGACCGCGCCATCGTTGGCATGGCGGTCGAGCGTGCCCTGCGAAAATATCAGGAGCGTCGTTCTCAGGCCGCTGCCAAGCTGCAACAGATTCGCGACGAGTTGCTGGCATTGCCTCCGCCACCACCGCCTCTAACGCCCAAGCCGGCCAATCTGGAGAAGCCCGTGTTGGTGCAGAAGAAACCCAAGTTCCGATACTTCCACTTTGATCCTCTCAAAGGCGCAATAGTGAAATCGCACTCGCGAATACTACGATCACCCGGCCGACCGCCATTCGATCCCAAGCATTTTGCCATGCTGATGAAGACCGGTCGTCTGCCACAGATTCCGCCCGGATTCCTGCGGCATCGCCCTCCCATTATACCTGCGCATCTGGATTCTGCCACCAAGGCAGCGATACTCAAGGAGTTCTTTAGCAAGCATCCGCCACCACCGCTACCGATGCCCATGCCGTTGCCGGATGGAATGCCCTATTACCTGAGTGGACCACCTCCTATGCCAAGTGGAGCTGTACTTTCTCCCATGCCTATCAGTGTGCTACCGCAGCCCATACCCGTTCTGGATGGCAGTGGCTATCAGGGTTATCCTCAGCCGGTTGCCATGGTGCCATCGCCCGTTCCGGTTCCTGTACCCGTGCCGCTACCTGTGCCCGTGCCTGCTCTAAGTAATCATACGCCGCCTCCCGCGATGATAGCTCCTTATTTCACACCGCCACCTCTGCCCGAGCTGCCAGCTCTACCCGAACTGCCGTCTCAGTTCACTGTGAAATCGGTGCCCACTATTACGGAAATAATGCCGGTGGATATACTGCAGAAGTTGGGACCGCTGCCGAAAACTTTGGACGTAGATGATGGAGTGGGAACATCCAGCCCCGAGGAACCCGGCAACGATCTCAAGGAGCCCGAAACAGAGCCAGCCGAACAGCCAGTGGTGGACATTAAGCCGCAGCTCCTTGTGGAGACCCAGTAGTAGATCCATCACTCGTTAGTTTGATTCTTTAGCCAATAGCTTTTCTTTAGAAAATTCTCTTTAATTATACACATGAAAATCCTTTATCCTTTACGATAAGATTTACTTTTTAAATATTTTTTTTATAATTATTTTTTATTTGACCATTTTGTAAACAAGTTGCATTTATCGATAGAAGTCGTTTTAGGTTTATTCAGCTCTAAGTTTGTATGTCATTTATATATGGTTCGACTTTGACCAAGTTCATTGATTTCTATAAGAAAATAAAAATGTAAATACTTCAATGCGCCTAAGGGGCTGTCCATATATTACGTAATCACGTTTTTGCTGATTTTTGACCCCCTCCCCCTTGGTGATCAAACGTAATCTTTCAATAAATACCCCCCCCAATGATTACGTAATCCCAAGAATAAAATTTTTTTTGTTTTAATATGTGGATTCAAACAGAGATGCAACCCAATCTTTAATATTGCTTATAAATGGAGTTTGGTATGACACATTCGGTTCGTGTACGCTGAAATTATCTCCAACATACTCTTCGTCAAGCCATTCCAGGTCTTCGCATTCTTCGTGTGATTGAACCACTAAACATTCTCTTTCTCGCCGCCCAGCCACTAAAAAAATTTTTTCTCTGCTTTCCTATCTAAGTTTGCAGATATATTTAAAGAAAAAAGTTTTTAAAAAAATTCTTTAAATAAAAAAATACATATAAAATGATTACGTAATCATTGTGCAAGACCCCCCTCCCCATGTAATCAACCATAATCATTTCAATGACCCCCTCCCCCCTAGGTGATTACGTAATATATGGACAGCCCCTAAGAATTATACCCATTACATTACATTACGAATATATGAGTCATTTATTATAAACGAAATTCTTAACGAATTAATCTTACATTAGGAACCTAATGAATCGAATGAATGTACGATTTTATAATGTGTTTTGGAACTAAAAGGTTTTGTGTGAATGTTACGGTACCATACAGACATGAAATACAAATTAGTTTTACTATTTGATTTAATTTGTTCTAATTTAATACATTAGTTTGTGAGTGGAATCTTAATCTATTTAGATCTTGCAATATCTAATTTCCTTTATATTGTATTACTTAATAATACTACGATAGTTAGGGTACTTTTTTTTAAATCAAATAATTCTTTTACAATTTTCCGCTAAGCTTTCTCTGAGGGTAGCTACCCTTTCCTAGATGTTTTCCCTGGGTGTCAAAACCAATGGAAAACAACTGGCGGGCAGTGCCAAACTCTCTGGACTTATCTTAATTGTTGATAGATCGTGGCTGCTGATTTTATATCTCTGCATTATGTTGACCAGAACTAGGAAACCAAAGCCCCTGACCAAATTCTGGCCGATGCAAGTTCGCTTTCCGATGCTGAAGGGTAGGAAATGGGGAATATTCTTTCTTAGTTGGAGTTTTTCCTTATCGCTTTCGATTCCCGAATCGGAACCTTTGGAATTTTTCAGTCTTTCTTCGTTTGCTTTTTCCAAAAATCTTGACGGATTGAATTCTCTAGGATTGATCCAATTTTTCTCGCTGGTATTTAGCACATAGTTGTTGATAAACACAATGGTGCCCTTGGTTACCCCAAAGCCAGAGATCACTGCATCCTCAGTGGCAACATGGGGAACAATCGGTGAGGAAGAATATCGTAGCACCTCGAAAATCGTAGCCATTGTAAAAGGCATGGCATTCATATCCATTAGGTTAATAGGTCTCTTTTCCTCCGATGTAATGGCGTCTATTTCCTCTTGGATCCTCCCTTCTATATCCTGATTCCTGGCTATATAGGCCAGTACCAGCATCACAAGATTTCCAACCGCCGAATGTCCGCCAATAAAATCCTCCAGCATAAAGATGATAGTGTTCCGGGAGACCTCCTTATCCTCGATGAGACTTTTTAGTAGGGCATCTGTAAAGTCTCTGTCTGGCTCATCCAAATCGATGTTCAGCTCCCGGTGGCAGATGATCCTCTCCATTATAAATTTCCTGATGGTCGAGGACCAATTGATGATTTTGTTCAGGTGTCGCTGATAGAAGGGATACAGCCAGGGAAGAAAGTCCAGGGGATGTCCCTGGTTGATCTCCCAGAAAATCTCATCGAAGAATTGAACAATCTGTTCGAATTCCTTATCTTCGTAGTCGAATCTCAGGGAACACATATACTGACTAAACATATTTCCACAGGCCTTGAGAATCAGCGGCTTCAGTTCAATGGGTTCTCCCGGAACCATTCTGTTTTTCAGCTTTCGATTCCAATGCTCCATTTCCTCGCAGCCAATTTGGGACATTTTCACATAGAAGGAAGAGGATTCTCTTGGCGAACAGTGGCGCCTGGCGAGATTCCTCCTCTTCTGCTGCAGCTGAGACCAATCGCAGAGGGCCAGTGAATTGCTCCTCTCGCCTCCAAATAACTTATGGTATCGTATAAAGTCCGGACGTCCACTCATCACCTTGCCATTTTGGTTCAAGACCTCGCGAATCAGCTCCAGATTATTCACCACCAAACAGCGGGTGTGTCCAAAAGTCAGGGAGTAAATATCTCCGTATTGTTTGGCCAACTCGGTAAATCCCGCAAAGGGATTATCTCTATAGCGATCCAGAAGATGTAGGTTTCCAATGATGGGCCAAGGTCGTGGTCCAGGAGCTTGTTTATATTTTTTATAAACTATTTGATTTTGTTCCGGTGAATCTTTACTTTTAACTGGCAGAATAACTCGTCGCTTGACTCCATAAGTAATGGCAATGTAAGAAGTTACCACGACAATTAGTAAAGTGGCAAAAATACTATATGCCAAAATTGCGAACATTTTCACAGAGTTCTTAAATGTAGAAGGTTCAAAAGACGACTGAAGATCTCGAAGCAAGTCAAGTAGACAGGTAAACTGTGGGCCAAGATTTTGCTATATCCTTTGGAAAAACTATTTTGCCATCTGTGGGTTAAGGTATTATTACCTGCTAACGCTCTCTAATCTGCCGCTACCTGTTTGTTTTGGTTCTAATGGTTTGTTTTTCCCATTTAAGGAACAACATGAATCATCAGGATGGAAACTGATAAGTGGGAGATTGGCATTTACTCTCATTATCATTAGCTATTCTACAAATCCCTGGCTATGTTTTATTTTAGTTTGAATGTATGTATATAATTACATAGCACTTTCGTTATTAAAAACATAAGTTATAATTCTTTGGTATATAAGGTGCCGGTGAATGATGATAATTAGTTTAAGAGGGTGCCTGATCCCTTTTCTGATCGCTGACCTTGTGGCTCGACAATTTAATAATTAAGTTTACGACTATGGACGGAGTTGTGTGCTTAGAACCAAGTGCTTTTAGGTCTTAGCCCAACGGAATTCAAACTGGTATGACGGCTGCGCATAAGCCAAAAGCGCTGACCTTGCAATGGACTTCGGGGTGCAGCCCACAACAGTGCATATGCTGCGTCAGCTTCCTGAATTTAAAAGTCAGCTCCGTACTAAGGTGACTCGATAGCCACTCGGGTGGCTCATTAATTATTTCTCAACTATATATTTTAGATTTTTTGAATTTTGAATTTATTTCTATAACTTTACTTTATTATATTAACTGTACACTCCCCTTGAGGATTATCCTAAACTACTCCATATTTATTGAGTATTCCGTAAGACGTAAAATACGATATGATCGGTACTTTATTACTCATTCAGTTTGTCCTTGGCAAAGGGCCCAATGTTGGCCGCATAGGCCATCATGGCTGGGATGGAACTCTGCTCGTAATTGCCAGTGAAAAGATGCTCGAAGGGACCAGATGCGAAGACACCCACATCCTCGGCGCCATGGGTTTCACTGCTCAGGGGAACCGTGGCCTGGAAAGCAAACTCTTCGTTGGTAGTGTCCGTATGGCCGAGATCAATGCGTCCAGACTCAGAGCTGTAGGTGTCGGTAAATCCAGGGCCGTTGGCATAGGACAAGATGGTAAAGGGCAGATCATCATCAGCCACATTGGGAGCCAGGGAAAGGATGTTCTGACGCCGGTACTATATAAAAAAGCATACAGAACTTGTTATTAAAACGTTTTAAAAATTTAGTATAAAAATTAAGTATTACAAAAAATTTTTTTTGGTTTTCTAGATAGTCTGTTAAAATTCAAAGATTTTAATATACAAAATGAATAACTTTTAATTACTCACCGGATAGCCATTAATGGACATGGTGTGCGAGTGATCCGAAGTCACAACAATGAGAGTGTCCTCCTCGTTGGTCATTTTCCTTGCCATTTCTACGGCTGCCGCGAATTCTTGAGTATCTTCCAGAGCCTTCCTCGCCTTTGTGGCGTGATGGGCCATATCAATACGGCCGCTCTCAACAAACAGGAAGTATCCCTCTTTATTTTTGCTAAGCAATTTGATGGCTGCCTCTGTCATGTCGGAAAGGGATGGCTCGGCGTCTTCGTAATGGGTTCGCCGACGATCACCGTGATAGGGCAGGTGAGAGGTGTCGAAGAGTCCGAGAAGATAATCCGTCTTGCTGAGATCCGTTTCCTTGAGACCCTTCAGGGACCACACGTACTTGCCCTCCGCTCCCTGTTGCTTCTTGATCTCCTGCCAGTCGTTGATCAGATCTCGACCATCGGTCCGCAGGCCCGCAACACCAGTCTCATCGGGCTGGGATTGATCCCGGAAATAGGAGCGACCACCGCCCATAATCACGCGAAGTTCCTGGCCCACTGGCCACTCCACCAGCTGGCGGGCCACATCCGTGTTGATTTCGGGACTGCACTGGGAGCTGACTATCTCACCATCGTGCTCCCAATTCCGCTCCGCAACATGGGCATAAACCCCAGCTGGCGAGGCATGTGTCACTCGTGCCGTGGTCACCACACCCGCCCACTTTCCGGCCTCCTGGGCCCACTGACCAATGCTCTGGACATGATGGCTCGAATTGGTCACACAGTCGCCACGCTGCACCTGGGCATTCACTCCAATGGTACCGTAGTTGGCCTTAACTCCGGTCAAATAGGCCGTGGCTGTGTTGGCCGAATCGGGGGTACGTTCGTTTACAGCATACGTCTTGGAGAGACCCAAATAGGGGAACTTCTCGAAGAAGACCTGCTTGTTGCTATCGCCCATGAAGGCACGTGTGGCCGCAATCGTATGAATTGACATGCCATCGCCCAAAAATAGGATCACGTTCTTAGCCCGATTTTCGTTGAGTTTCTTGTGTGTGGCCAGCTTATCGGCCAGAATCGATTGGGCCTTATCGTGCCAGAACCGTGTGTCCAGCTCCTCGTCGAGGGCCTCGAAGTCGCGTGATGATTGCAGACGGGGATGTTGGGCTGTAAGGACCGGACTTTGGGTTAGCAACTAATCGGCGGGAAAATTCGGTCTAATAAAACTACTGCTTCAAGTGGTAAACATGTTTTCTGGCCGACTCGATTAGATCTATAAATCAGTTTTAATTATAGCTATTTCTTATCGCTGGAAAATCGCACCTGATTGTACCATAATAAAACGTGTTAAAAACGTTTTAACCTCTAGTACTGATTAATGACTCCTACACTAAAATAAAGTGGCGTCATGATTATATGTGGATTTCTTCACTAGCATAAATCGTTGACATGTATCCATTCGTTTATAAATGTATCCCTTTTTATTTTATTTAGATAGATGTGTATAGGTACGATCAATTTTCTTATATGGTATTACGTAACACCTTTTAACTCTTCTTTTTTGAGTATCCTTGCTTAATGGTCCCTAAAGAGTTGTTCTATAAGTAAATCTAGGAAAAAAATACTTTAAAAAACATTTGTTTACTCCTAATTAAGTCTTTATTTCATTTAAATTTAATTTAATCACTAAGTTAATTCAATTATATTTTTCATATCATATTTCACAATACCCCAGCTAAACGCTATCTTTATTGCAATTGAATTTCACGTGAACAAATGAACTCGTAATCATAGTATAGCTCGTCGATGACTGAACCTTTTCAAAAATAAATATAGATTAGCCTATTATAATGAGCTAAGAAGATTTGCGATAAGGTCTACTGGGTTCTTTCAATTGGCCGTAGATAAGCTGGGGTCCCGACAAATCGGATTCGTTCGGCTGCTCTCTTCGCAATCTTCGGTTCGGTTCCACTTACCATGTTCTTGCTCATCGGCCAGATCACTCCGAACCTGGACAAACAGGAGAGCGAAAAGGCACAAGATCAGGGAACTTTTTACCATCTTGTATGGGGGGCGGTGACTTAAAACTGAGTAATGCTCCGTTCGACAGAGACCGCGAGACTGGCCAAATTAGACGAATTGGCCCGGTTATATAGCCTCCGATTCCCGAGGCGTTCTTCCTGTAATATACATACGCATATTATATATGATTGTTTTTGTGATTTGAGCAATCTAAAGTGGCGATCGATTAATTATCTCGAGTGCCTAAAAACGTGAGTATCACGGTCTGGCCAAGGAGGTGTCGTAAATTACCCGAGCTCCCCACGCCTCACACGACCTGCACCTGATGGTATATTAATGGGTGGTATGTGCCACTGGAGTACAGTATTCACCTGGCTGGCACAGTGAAAGCATCTCTAGAATGGCTTTGAGTCTTAAGTTCTGGATTGGCCTCGGCCTCTTGACCACCATCGTCTGGGGTGCAGCGGTACCTGGAAAGGCGCCCGTGGACGAGGAGCGGATGCATCCCCATCTGCCGAGTAGTCCCCGACTTCGTGCTATTTCTGGAGAGGAAACGCAGGAGTTCTGGTACGCGTACAGCAAGCAGCTACTCCGTGAGAAGGTGGACTTTGTAAGGAACACCAAGAAGGCGAAGAATATTATCCTATTCCTCGGAGACGGCATGGGTCTGGCCACTCTGGCCGCTGCCAGAAGTTACATTGGAGGTGAGGAGCTGAAGCTCTCCTTCGAGGAGTTTCCCTTCACGGGGCTATCGAAAACCTATTCGGTGGACAAGATAGTACCCGATAGTGCCTGTACTTCGACCTCATACCTTTGCGGAGTAAAGGCGAACTACGGAACCATTGGCGTGAATGCCCATGTGAAGCGCGGCGACTGCTTGGCCATGGCCAATGAAACGAACCATGTCTTCTCCCTGGGCAAATGGGCCATGGATGCGGGCAAGGCGGCCGGACTGGTGACAACCACTCGAGTGACCCACGCCTCTCCCTCCGGAGTCTACGCCCATGTCGCCGATCGGGAGTGGGAGAATAATGCCGTGCTCGAGGAGGCCTGCGGTGAGCAGTCGGAGGGCCTCCAGGACATAGCCGTCCAGTTGATTCACGGCGAGGTGGGCAGCAAACTGAAGGTCATGTTGGGCGGCGGCAAGCGAAGCTTCTACAGTCCCGAGCACTACGACAAGGGACGTCGCACTGATGGTCGCAATCTGGTCGAAGAATTCGAGGCTCTGGATGAGGGTAATACTTTCGTGAAGACCCAGAAGAAGCTGCTCCAAGTGAATGCCACCGAAACGGGACGTCTGTTGGGTTTGTTCAGCAAGAGTCACATGCACTATCATCTGGAACAACTCGCGGATCCGGAGAACAATGAGCCCACGCTGGAGGAGATGACACAGAAGGCCATCGAGGTGCTGGAGACCGAGGAGCAGGGCTACTTTCTGTTCGTCGAAGGAGGTAAGATCGATATTAGCCACCACGATACCATGGCACGAATTGCCCTGGATGAGACCGCCGAACTCTCGAAGGCGGTAAGGAAAGCACGCGAGATGACCAACCCGGAGGAGACCCTAATTGTGGTGACCTCGGATCATTCGCACACCTTCAGTGTGTCGGGCTATCAGAAGAGAGGAAGCGACATCTTCGGAGCCGCCAAGGCGAAGGGCCAGGATGGCAAACCCTATCTGGCCCTGAGCTATGCGAATGGCAAGAGCTTCGCGGACTATTACAACACGGAGACTCACGAACGAGAGGATCCCACCAGCCTGCCCACCGTGGGTGACTTTGATCAGCTTTTCCCCGCCACGGTGCCCCTGGAATCGGAGACCCACGGCGGCGAGGATGTCGGCGTTTTTGCCTCGGGTCCCTGGGCCCATCTCTTCACCGGCGTCTACGAACAGAACACCATTCCCCACATTATGGCCTATGCCGCTTGTGTGGGCGATGGACTGACTGCCTGCGATTAGGAATCAGAATCGCAATCAGGAGTTGATTGACACACCGAAGGACTCTTAATTAGCTCGTCCACTAGACAAATTCTCACGTACGCTTTATCGCCTTAAATGAATACTCAAACAATTGACAGGTGCTACAACACATGGCCCTCGAGAAAAAAGAAATTAGATCGGGGATTACTCGCACATTCTATAAGAAGTGTTTTCCTATCAATCTGAAAAACCAAATATACTTATATTGTCTGATTAAAGGCAGACATTGAAATCCCGATTAAAGCTGATTAAATTAATAAGAACCATTTTAAATTTCGACTTTGTATTCGGGGGGTGTGGTGTGATCGAACGAACGTGGAACGTATTGGAGATTTGTATCTCATGGTCTTACCATACTTTCGAATAGCTTTAGGATCTAGATAGTTATTCTTTTGGAGCCAAAAATAGTTATTGGACTTTAAGGGGTCTTATATTGGGGTATTCCTGCCAATAAATACCTAATCAATGGAATATTTTAATCAGAAAATAAGTCGACATTCCTTTTAGATAAAGAATTTAATTTCTTTATGCCGAATTGTATAGTCTAAATGACGCAGAAAGATGACTTTGATCAAAAGGCTAAGGACATGCGGTGCTTAAGTTCCGAAACTAAATTAGTTTTAAAAATAATGAAATACTGAGCTCAAATCAATTATAATAGCAAAATATATAAAGTACTTCTAACCAATAATACGAATTAAGCAAGGTTCTATATATAATTTTATACTAAACAAATTAATATTTTTTCTTCCCTTTTTTCAGTCATCAATATTGACAAGTAAATCTGGTTTTATCTCTGATAGACATTGTTTATCAATACTGAGAATTTCAATTATCGCCTTTCTCTTTTAAAAAGTGAATCTAATGACGTAGAACGAACGGCCTCACCCACTGGTTCTCAGAAATGTTATATTTTTAAAATTTCATCGACAAATTAAATCTATCAATGCAATGAAATTAAATTTTGTGTAGACAATTAAATGCGAATTGATTTAAATCAATTGTGATTTTACTTGGAATTCCTATTATCATAATGATTGGCCAGTCTGCCGAGTGGGTAAATATGATCCCAAATACTTGAACTTATTATGCTATTTAAATTGTCAATACCAACCTCGATTTTATGGGACTTTCGTTTTTCTTGAGAATCTCTTTTACTTGTTTATGTCGAGTATTTTAAGCAAAATCATTGTTTACTATTGTCATTACGAAATCCGTCGGGGAATACCCCTTTCTATATTTGTTAAAAACGTAGATCTTCGATTCCCAGAAGTTTAATGATCTTTGATTTTGTTTACTCCGAGTAAGACGAACGAAATGTTAATTACACGTCAGATCCAGTTGAGCATTCAATGAATGAACATTCGTATATCCCAAATAATAAGCCAATAAAAGATCGATTTCCAAATAATAAGGTTAATTTATCATCTTCTTGTTAGACATTATCAGTACGGTTTTTATTTAAATATTCAACTAGCTGCAATCTGAATAAATAGACTATATATCTCAAATAATGACTGCATATTGGTTAGCACTACGAGGTTGGACGAGTGTGGCATACTTCTCCTTCAGCTCGACCAGAGCCCTCTGAAAGTTCTCCATGCTGCTCTCCAGCTGATTGGGATTATGCTGCTGCTGGACGGATTGAGCCTTGGCAGCCAGTAGACCATCGTGGGATCTCTCGCCCAAGAGGAGGATCCTCCTCCAATCGCTGGCATCGGAGCTGCCGCGCAGAAAGTCCTTGCGATTGCCCACTGCGAATACAGTCTCCTCTATATTTTCCGGCAGCAATGTGGTCTGCGGTGTGCCCAGTTCTCCGGGAGTCGGTTGAGTGGGTGCCAATTGAATTGCCGGTGGCGTAATCCCCGACAGAGATGCCGATGTGGGTTGAGGCGGTGGAATGGGAGCAGCTTGCCCCTGATTGGCCGGTGAATCGAACAGTTCGCTGGGCAAATTCTGCGGCCGATCGATCTGCATCACCTGCCCATCGGGTGAAATGTGGAAGAACTGCGCACGACCCGTTAAACCAGTTCCAGTTGCTCCGCCAGGAATGACTATAATGTTGCCCACAGCGGTGGTCAGTGCAGAGGCTCCTCCGAATCCGCCACCAGGAACCGCTTGGGCTGAGATAAAGGGTGGAACAGGAACTCCAGGTGGTGGAAAAGATCGCAAGGGTGGAGCCGCCGGACAGGGGAAGCAGTATCCAGGAGGTCCCGGTGGGCCTGGCAAACCTCTGGGACCCGGAATAATGGGAAGGTTAGGTGGGTAAGGACCTGGGTAGCCCCAGTATCCATTGCCACTGCCACCAAGACCGTTGCCGTTTCCTGGAGGTCCTGGAGGACCAGGAGGACCTCGCTCACCCGCAGGACCAGGATCACAAGAGCATTTCACCAAAGATCCCTGGGCAGAGGAACAAAGACCTGCGGTAAAACGATATATTATAAAATGTTTAAGAATACTAGGGATTGTTTTTTAAACTTACCCAAAACCAAGACAGCTGCAAGACCGAGAAAACTCATGGTGCTCTTGGAAAATCACTTGAGAACAGACTGAGCTGAGCCGAGAGCTCGGCAGCTGCTTTTATAAGCAGGAAAACTCGGGATAAAATCAAATGAGTTGACAAACATTTTAATATGCATATAAAATAAACAAAATAATCTCGAGATCGAGCCCCAAAACACATTTCCCGCATCTCTATAACTGTTCTTGGCCCACAATCGAAAGGGAAATGTTTAGAGATCAAATGGAAAAATGCCATCACCAAGGCGGTCGCGCTGACATTTATGATAATTTATGCAACAAAATATACACGAACATCATTAGGTCTGAGGCCAAGCCTTTAAACTGGGTCAGCAGGGTTCTGAATTCTTGGCCAACGATCGGCAGGGAAAACTTCAAAAATGCAACAAATGTCAATCAAGTCGTAAAGTGTGATTAAATCAGGCAGTTTATGTGACTAAATGTGGGCGCTAGCCATCAAAATGACACCCAGACTTTTGAATCGCTGTCGGAAATTATTCTCATCACCTTTTTTTTCAGAGGAACAGAAATTCTGAAGACCTGCTCTCAAGCGCCGTTACAGTTTCCATCGACCAGAATTAGCATAAATTACGAAATCAATATGTTCCTAATCAGGTTCCACCACAGGGCGGATTGAAATGAAAAGGCTCTGCGACATTTCCGACTTATCTCAGAATTCCATTGACAAGACAAAGCCCCCGAAAACACGCGTCATTAGTGGCACTCGTCCACTCTGTAAGTGCCCACTTCCAAACGAGCGCCATTCTCTCGAAAACTGGTGACATTGGCCCTCTTGAGCGTCCAGATAAGCAGTAAAAGTAAAACCGGATGAAGGATAGTTCTTTGCCTAGGTAAATACTCTAAAAACGGTTCTTAAAAGACGGGTTCCACTACATATCATAGTTTATTATCCCATTTCTTGATAACTGTTTTCTGGAAGCAAAAAAAAATACTTCATATAAAGTCGATCATTAAGATACTACATGGAGATTAACTAAAGAGTGGAGCTTACCCCAAAAAAAATCAATAACTTTTGATCTAAAGCAGCTTAAATGAACTAAATGATTCCAGAAACCTTCCCAAAACTTGTCAGGGTATAACACACAGTGTAAACACTGCAGTGATTAATCTTGTACGTAATAAACATAATTCAAGTACGTAAGCCCAAAGCAAACTCTATCAGTTAACGACAAGAATCCAAAAAGCTTTATCAATTGAGTTGTCATGGAATAATCCCAAAGTACTTGATCCGCACCGGTGTTTTCTTGTTTGTTTTTTTTTTTTTCTTACTGTGGCTCCCTAAAAAACAGAAAAAGAATAGGAATGCGAAAATTGGCAATTGGCCCCTCTAATAAATGGGCAGATAAGCTGCCCAAGTCAATTAATTGCAAAAAAAAAAAAATAAAGGCAGATGAAGTTGTTTGCCTCCCAACAATTTTGAAATCCATTTGAGGGTCAATGGTACTGAGCGGATCATAAAAGATTAAACGATCTTGATGTTGTTTGATAATGACCAGGATGAAGCGGACATCAAAGGCATTAATCATTTTGCTTGGTTTTATATATTGAATTTATTATTAGATTATCGACTATTGCTAATCAGCACATTTCTTGCATCGTACATAAACTTAATTGGCGCAAACAAGTTCAAGTCACATTTTGTTGCAATTGCATAGATTGATAAGTTTTCTAGGCAAACAATTCAAATAAAATACATGATGTATACGGTATGCAGGCATACGCGGATCGAAAGCACATATATGGCAAAAAAGTTATCTTCGAAACTATACGATATCAAAAATTATAAATTTAATGAATTAATTCATTTTTTATGCAATCAAGTAAGCGGAAAAAATAATAACTGTTTTTAGTAATTAGTAATTTTATGGAACAAAGGAGATTCCAATTTAAATAGATAAGTTTAGTAATTGACTCTTAAATCTATCAAATATAAATGCAACTAACTGAGCTTTCAATCTACAATTATTTGTTACTTTGTCCTACATTTCCTCAGAATTGAATTCACTGTCATTTCCAAGTTGCTTGATTTACAGTTCCGAAAAACACTATTTAAGTAATATATGTGCCTGGCGTATACATCGTTAAACTGAATATTTAATCTTTGGTGCGAATACATTGGACTGGCATTCATTTTCACACCAACATGAGAAGTGAGAAACACAAAGAGACGGAGAGCGGAGAGCCAAATGGAGCAAAGGTAAACGCACAGAACTAAAACTCTACTCAATAAATACAAGTGTAAATCGATTAGGATGATATACAGATCTGGGGGCGGGTTGCGGCGGAGCGAGCCGCTGGGCTCTTAGTCTATTTTCACATTGGAATAGATTTTGCGCACGAAGAGATTCGTGCCCACATAGCCGACGGTGCCGCAGATAATTCCCAGGGCGCCGCTGAAGAGGGCCATGTAGCCAAAGTAGAAGGCCGTTTGGAACAGGCCGAACATTCTGAAAAACAATAAATGCGTTTCTTAAGAATGATCACTGTAAAAATCAGTAATATGCGACTTACTTGGTTTTAAAGAAGAAGTAGTAAAAGGAGTAGGCATACACGTAAATGGACGTCGATCCCGCCGCCATGAAACTCGTCCACTGCCATCGGTAATCCTCAGCATTAAGCAGGAAGTATGTGCACACAATGGTAACACACACAGTGACCACAGTCAGGATGCTGAACACCAGCAACATAAAGCCATAGACATAGTAGATCTTGTACGCCCAGAAGGAGGTGAAGATGAAGTACCTTTAAAAAAATATTATAAATAGATAAAAAAATGTTAAATAACAGTATTTTACGTTAAATTAAGTAAGTTCTTTTTTGGAAGCTTTACTCCGTTAAAAATCAGTCACAAATGTCCGGACAATACTTACATCTCAATAAAGATAGATCCGAAGGGCAGGACACCGCCTAGAAGAACAATAATCAGCGGCTCCATGTACCACTTCTTTTCGGGAATGGGTCGTGGCACAGCGTTCACTCGGCAAGGGAAGTCCGGCTGCCCGTCCAGATTGCGACCCACCACAGTGCCAACCAAAGTCAAGGGCAGGATCACAAATAGACAGATGCAGGTCACTGCCACCATGGTCCCGAAGGGAATGGCTCTCGAAGCGTGATAGCCGATGGCAATGAAGTTAATCAGGAAAGCCGTGCCACACACAGCCACTGGAACCGTAAAAGCCGACACCAGCATCTGCCGGATCCACAATCTTCCTCCCAATCGCGCATATAACGATCCTCCAAAGTAGCCATTAATGGGCGAAGTGGCAGCATACACAAATATGGCCGTGGACAGCATAGAACCACGTTCTGTGTACAATTCACCGACTATGGCGAACATAATCACACAGAAAACCACCGAAATTAGTTGGTAGCCAGCTCCCACTAAAGCCGAGAAGAGCAGCGTGTTGGGTGGCGAACGGAAGACGTCGCCATGAACCTGCTTCCAACCGTATTCATCGCCAAGGTCGCGCTCCATGTCGTCCACCTCCTCGTCCTTGCTATAACGGGCATAATCCTTGCGCAGAGTTCGCATCAGAATCATGGACACAAGGCCAACCAGGAAGATGACCATCATGAAGCTGTTGAAGATGCTGAACCAGTGGATCTGTGGAAATAGGATTTAAAATAATTAACATTGGTAATTGCGCAAAATAAGCAAATAAATGATGTGATCGTTATTATTTTGTACTTGTAAAAATAATTGATATGCTATTAAACACAATATTATATAAAATGCGTCTTATCTTCGTTTTTCTTTAGATGGAATATAAAGAGGTTTAAGTTGTTAAACTGAATGATCCCTATTCAGGACCAATTTTACAGGACTTTCCATGGTTCCCAGACATGCTGACCGAAACTTAGCTTAAAATTTAGCAAGAAAAGCTTATTATTAATCGAAATACTTTGTTAAATTACTAATGTATGATGCCAAGAACTGATTACGAAACAGGCTATAAAATATGATTCATTCGCAGCACGTTTGGAATATAAATTTAAATATTTTTACATTACTTATTAAAAAATGCTTACTTTAAAGTTGCTACCTTGAATAAATAGAATACATAGTTATAGTACTTAATACGCACCCTGTGCTGGAAGAAGTTCGGGTCCAGGTACTTGTCGAATCGGTTCTTGAACTCCACCTTGCTGGGCTTCCAGTTGACCTCGTAGGAGAAGTTGATGTGCGAACCCGGCTTCAGTTCCTCCCGACCATCGGTGGTCAGGGTGATGTCCACGATCTGCTGGCCATTGTAGCCGATGTCGAACTTCTTGTGCGTGAAGATGTAGTACTTGCCATCGCGTTCGTCCCGCTCCCCGACCTTTCCCCAGATTGGAAGACCATCGATGTACATCTGGTACCAGTACTCGTTCTTCACGGCATAGGTGAACGCCTTGGCGCTCTCCTCCTGCAGGGTGACCATGCAGATGACTGACTTGGGTGCATCGATCTTGAAGTCCATCTCGTAGCCACTGAACTCCAGCTCGACTCCTTGGAGGGCTTCGCTCAGGGTCTCGTGGTAGTGGGAAATCGACGACTTTTGGCCACTGCAGAAGGGCAGGGAGAAGTAGGCGTAGGTCTCCTGCCGATTGTGGTACGGACCCACCGTGTTCATCCACAGGACCACCTCCTCCCGGTCATTGTACTATCCGGGGGATTGGGAAGATATATGTATCCGTAGACATGGTAATCCAAATCCAAACTCACCTTGTGGTTGTGCTCATCCGCCTGCGAGGGCGACACGTAGCAGCTGGCGATGAGCAGACATAAACAAATTGCACGGAACTGCGAAACCACCGCAGTTTTCCTGGTGGCTGCGATGCTGCTGCTGCCCATCGTGGCTTGTGCAGGTGGTGACCTCGATTGCGCGACTTCCGGGTGACCTCGCTCTGCCGGCGTGCTTCGAATGCCCTGGCTAGGATTGGCTTTTCAGACAATTTGTGGCAAACACAGATTTGCCGACAGAAAAAAAGATCTCGTAAACGTAAAGTCAGTTCATTTGTGCTGGTTCCGAGTCTTTGAACCGAATCATAGAACTAGAACACACGTCACTTGGCCGAATCGAGCGCTGTGCAACACTCTTTTTTTTGGAACTAGTGTGACCGTTAAACTGTTTTTGAAAATTCAGTTGGCCTACTATTTGTTTAAAAATTAATCATTATTTAAAGACTCTCTTTGATATTTTTAATCATTTTGTTCCTATCATAAAATATTTACTGGGCTGTAATCTAGAAAATAAATAAATAGAATCTTTTGGATGTTTGGATGTACAGTTTAAATATTTTGACGCCTTATTTCATAAAACTTGTTAAATATGTATTATAATAACTGTAGTAAATGATAACTGCGGTACTTATTTTACTTGCTCGGCGATGACGCCAATGTCCAAAAATCCCAAGACCTAAGTTCAGAAATATTATTATCTCTAAAGCTTGCAGTACTTCCAAAAATAAATATTCATCTAGATATGTTTAGTTTAAGGTCGTTCCACAATCATGCCCGCATAATACTAGAAGTTGTGATATCAATAGTTTGTCGCGACTCAGAGCGCTGTTTCAAGAAATTATTATGGAATGTCCTGATAATTTGCTGAGACTATCAGCAGTTTTCTTTATATTCAATTATTTTCTTAAGCAGACTCGGAGGAGTCAGTCGCTCAAAAACTCTTGTCGGACACACATTGTAAAGACGTCATAGTTTGTAACCCTTATTTTTGTGTTTTTGAAGAATATTTTAAGGGTTTCGGCATAACGAATTAAAAATTGTTTCTAAAATTTAAAAGTAGTGGTGAAAAATGTGGATACTTCTTGGATACCTTGCTGCATTTCTGTTGTTGGTGCTGCAAAAAACCCATGCTCAGATTAGCGGTTGCGATTTCTTCGACACTGTAGATATCTCGACTGGACAAAGACTCCCAAATGGCTCATACTTATATGAGGACCTACTCATTCCCGCCCATTTGACGGCAGAATATGACTTTAAGCTCCTGGCAAACGGAGAGAAGGAGGATGTGACGAGGCACATAAGAGGATGTGTCTGCAAACTCAGACCCTGTGTCAGATTTTGCTGCCCCCATGACCACATAATGGATAACAGCAGTTGCTTTGATAATATGACAGTGGATGAGCTGAATGAACTCGATCCCTTCCTAAACGTGACCCTCAACAACGGATCGGTGGTTAGGATGCACTTCAGAGACGAATTAATAGTGCAGTGGGACTTGCCCAAGCCCTGTGAGCAGGGAAAATTGTTCTACCTAGACAACCGAGTTGAAATGGATAAGTTTACACTTTTCGAGGTATCTTAGCTAAATAATATAATAAGTTTGGCAAGTTTAATCGCAATCAATCTTTTTTAGAATGGAGGTTTCCTTCGCCATTATGACAATATGAACTTGGACAAGAGGGAGTACTGTCTTCAGCATCAAACCTTCTATGACGTTAATACCAATACCTCATCCATTCGAATTGCACCCCATAACTGCTTAAAAGAGGTCGAGCAATCTAGAACTGGGCAGACCGTCGGTAATGTAAAGTAAAATATTTACTCAAGATCCACGTAACTGATTTGGCTTCCCATAGTGATTATCCTATCTTTGATATGTATGACTCTCACGACCGAAGTGTACCTATTTGTTAAGGAATTTAGAAACTTGAACGGCAAGTGCTTCATTTCCTACATGGTCTGCCTGTTCCTGGCCTATCTCTTCCTGCTGCTCGACTTGTGGGGCCTATCGTCCAGTTTTTGCCATACATCAGGTGAGATCATGGCGACTATATGACTATATGAGCAAAAAAACATTTTTTGGAGTCACTCAAAAGGTTTCCTGGGCTACTTTTTCGTCATGGCCGCATTTCTGTGGCTTTCTGTCATCAGTCTGTACCTTTGGAATGGATTGAAAATCGAGTTTGTGATAAATCATCAGTATTTGGTCTACAACTGTTACGCATGGGGAATGTCGACGGTCTTGACCGGAATCACCTATGTGGCTAATGAGGTAGTAGAGGACGAGAATTGGAATCCCAGAATGGGCGAGGAAGGGCATTGTTGGATCTATAGTGAGTTGCGATTTCTAATGGAAATCTTAGATATGTTCGTTACCCTCATGATTTCTCTTCACAGCGAAAAGTTGGTCTGCTATGCTCTACTTCTATGGACCGATGTTAGTGCTGATTCTCTTCAATATGACCCTGTTTATCCTGACTGCACTCCCTAGAATACAATCTAAAATGGAACTTAGAAAAATCGCACGCAAGGAAGGCAGGATACAAAAGCTGAAATCGGATAAACATAAGTAAGTAACATTGTAATAATTGATATGATATGATTTCAGGACCCTCCATGTATCCTTTACAGCTATGCATTATATCTGCGGCTTTTCATCGCCATGGGAATCTCGTGGAGCCTTGAGATAATCTCCTACTTAATTCAGGAAAATAAGGCCTGGGCCTACGCGTTTCTGGTGGCAGACTACTTTAATTGGTCCCAGGGTATCATCATATTTGTGCTTTTCATCCTGAGGGGCTACACCCTACAACTTCTAAAAAAGCAGTAAGTATCTGATTTAAGAATTAAAGTGGGAAACAAAGTTTCCTTTCAGGTAATTACTAAGCTTTAATGTCCGACTATTAACTATTTTTCTTTATTCTTAGAATATATCCGAAAGATAAATGGAATAGCATCAGTATGAGGTCAAGGGTAACTCGTATAACGATTGACGAATCCGTAAGTCATCACCCAAACCCAACATTTGTGGCGAAGGACTCAATCAGTGTGTAGAAATATACAAAAAATTGTTCAGATTATAGATCCGTTTGTAATAGTAACTAATAAATAAATAAAAATAAATTTATTATCTCAGCAAGTGTTCCACACTCACCATGTATGAAAACGAATTTGTAAAAAATAATCACAAATGCTTATTCATTTTCGACTTTTGATTCAACAATGTTTATCCCGGAAGCGGGAATTTTTACATATTATCAAACATGAATGGCAATCAACATTTTGGTGCCAAAACCCAATTTTATGAGTTGACGAAACTTCATTTGAAACAAACTCTGATAGAGAAATATCGATTTTTTGTATAATTTTCTATATGGCTTAGCTTTGATTTATTCACGCTGAGACCACGAATGGTTATACTTATGTGATTTCTCAGTGTCATGTTTATTAGAATTAATAACTCATCTTATGTTTAAATCTACAATCGTTTTATTACTTGTAAAAAATGTAATTTCGAAACTTTGAACATAAAGAGTGGATCATTCGAGGCGGACTCTATAGTAGCAGTCATCATCGATGTCGAATCTTCTTGTTTATGTGCCCGCTCTTCTTAGCCGTCGCACTGGAGTTGGTGGAAAGTTTGCTCTTCGTGTTTGATGTGGGTGTGCCAAGGACATCTTTGTTTCCAGAGCTAATACCTCCACTACTCGCAGATCCTGCAATGACTCCGGCACCTCCGCTTACCAGACTTCCTTCATTTCGATGCGAGGGTGAATCTGCAAGAAAAAACGCAAACGATTTGTTAGGATAATAAGGAAAGATATGACGGACTTATGAGTTAAGAATAGTTACTTCGATTCTGAAATGTCTTCTCTAACAAGCTATTTTAACTAAGTTCTTCCTAGTCTTATGCCTTGAATACTTCGCTTTACTTATATTATAATAGTGGCTCTATTACATTTCCAATTTCAATACACACAATGCGGCGTGTTCCTGTTTTCACTCGGAAGTGAATTGGATTTCATTCTGGCGGATTTAAGTCCGCCTTTCAAATGCTGGGCGGAAAGTTTCCGTGTGAATTTTTCGGAAATTAACAGAGGAACAACGAGGGATTCGTGCAATTCTTTCGGAAGTGAGGTCTTGGAATTTCAGTTCCGTGTGAATCTTTCGGAAGTGAAAACTACAACAGGGCCAAATATCTTTCTAAGCATTCTGTTATCATTTTAGCTTTAGCCTAACTTGATCTTATAACGCCTTGAACTCTGCTGCTTTCTTACCCTTCTCATCTTTCGGCGTGCTCTTGATTGTGGTGGCTCCATCATGGGCCGTTGTGGTGTTCTGATTTATTGAGATCTGATTGTCGCTGGAGTCTTCATTGGTAATGGAATCCGATTCACTGGCGCGCTCAGCTGGAATTTGATAGATATTAATATATGTTCAACAAAATAAAAACAGAAAGGGTAAGTGGAGAACTCGGAGAAGGAACACTGGTTGCATATAAGCCAAGAAGAAAGTGTCTAATGTGTCTTCAGATAATAAAGAACCACTAGTTTATACTTCTGATCTAGTGTACCATATCTTAAGACCACTATCTCAAGTGGTTGAACCATCAGAAGAGGATTAAGGACCCACTTACGATTACATATGGCCATGGAGGTAATGCTGGACTTGGAGAAGAGGCGCTCGGCCTCCTTGAACTTGCGATTCCGCTTGTCGGCCTTGGAATTCGTGGCCTTGTTGGAGGTCAGGTAGCGCTCCCATCCGCGGATTATGTTGCCGCACAGCTGCGTGTCCTCCAGGTAGGATCCCTCGAAGGCGTAGATCTGCCGCTCCAGATTGGCCAGTTGTTCCTGTCATTCAAAGGATTTGGCAATAATAATGCTATTATGCCCTCGTTTTTGCGTTTGTTTATATTGTGTCTCACCGAAGTCTCCGCCTTCTTCTTGATTAGGTCCGCCAGCTCGGCGCGTGTGTCCATGGACCCGCTTTTTGCGTTCGAGTTCGTTTTGCCCGACTTCTTTGGCTTGTTGCCGTTCGTTTCGCTGACATTTTTACTCGTGGGCGAGCTCATGATTTTGATAAAATGCTAAATTTATGTTTTTTTATTGCCCGAATTTTTGTTTGTTATTAAATTGACTATCGGAAAGCTATCGAATATTGAAAATATAATTATCGACACTGACGTGGTATTTTTCTTGGTATTTTTATTGATTTATTCCGGTGTCATTGCTAAGAGTTTTTAGCGGAGACTCAAACCAATTAAATTATCATTCGAGAATTGCCTGTCCAGGTGGCATTGTCTTTTTAAAGCGCCATCTAAAATTTTTCAAAATGTTCCGCCACATATATACGTTTTTGAACAAAACAAATCAATACTAATTTAAAACCTTGTTTTGTAGAAATATTATGGAAAATATGGTTATAAAAATGGTTTTAATAATATATAGTGACCGCAAGTAAAGTGAATCATTAGCTAAGATTGGTGGGAGTCATTACAAAAAATCTACAAACATTGAAAAACCAGAAAAAATTTAATAATTTATTTGATAAGATGTTTTAAAGTATTTAACTTCAAGCTGAAATAATATGGGCAGTAATTCTTAATTTTGTTCAATAACTACATTGGAAAAATTTATCTGCACGGTTTAAGTCCGCAGCGACAAATTTAAATAGTACAAAAGGCTACCATTACTTACTTTTTAGATTTTTCTTCACCGATATAAGAGTAATTTTTCCTCTTTTTTTTCACCATTTTTAGGAAACTCTTCTTAGCTCTTGTCCCTTCACTACTTTGCATTCAGTTTGAAGCGAGTGTGGCTGCCATTGACCTCTCGTCTTGTTATTCTTTTTTATTTATGCGTTTGCCACAGACAAAAGATTCGGTTGAGCTGAAGCGCCATCATCGCCGTCATGATGGTGATCATCTAATGATCTCCCCGCGAGTCTTGCATAGTTTATTGACCCAAGTTCGTTTCAAAGTTTGTTGAACTGCCGAAAAAAAAGTGAAGCTACCGTTCTTCTAGCTCTCTATTTCTTTAAGTTCCCTCTTTCTTTCTTTCCTTTCCGCCTTTCGCTCTCTTGCCGCCTGCTCTTTCTCTTTTACTTGGCTTTATTTTGGCTGCCGCTTTTTATGGGCCTCCGTTGTCGCGCCTATTTCACTTTCGTCATACGCGGCGTATGCGTGATTTTATTTCTGCAGCACTTCGCCTTTCATGTTGACCATAGAAAAGCGATATGAAGTGAGGCTGCGGATGAAGACGAGCTCGATTAGAAAATGAAATCATAATGCAGCGGCCAGCAAAAGCGAAACGGCAACGACCGTTGCAAGTCGCTAACTGAACAAAGTCTGCCATTCCACTAGCCATGTTCCACTAACACAATCGACTCAGTGACTTAGTGACTGAGTGACTAAGTGACCGACTGACAGACTGCAGTCTTCTCTATGTGTGTCAAACATTGGCGCGCGCGTATTTGAAAACAACAAAAAGTGCAGCAAAAAAACTTTCATTTTATTTAAACAAACACACAAGGCGCGGCCTGGGCTAAGACTTGGAAAAACTTATTTTCATTTGGTTTTAAGCAAGCATCTGCCAACTGAAAACTCCGACGGTCGATCGGTTTTAGCCAACTTCTTCTGGTTTGCACTGAGAAAAATTTTAAATTGGATCTCCATGTCTGTAAGCCTTTAAAACTGCTGCAACATTTGTTCAAAGTTTTTAAAGAATTATTTTTCTGATTCGATTAAAAATACGATTCTGAAATCTATTTTGTTTCCTTCTTAAAAATATATTTATTTTCTTTTTCATTTTTATCAGTGCTGCCAATTGATGGCAGTTTGCAATAATTTTTATGATGAATTGCTTGGCCGCGTGTGAAATCTGCAGCAGTCGCAGCATTGGCCGGTGGAAAAGTGGAAAACAGCCAGAAAAGTGGAACACAGCTAAAGAAGCAGCAGCTCCAAGTGCAACAACTGCAAGTGCAACAACTGCAGCAGCAGCAACGCAAACACTCTCGACTAATTAGCTGCGTTTTAGAAATTCAGGCGGCAATGAAAACAAAATCGAGTTCAATGCTTGCAACGATGACGTTGTTGTTGCTCTCGGCGTGGTGTGTTTTCGACTTTTCCGAGAATTTCACATATAGCATACATAGGCCGATGCGGCGCTTTCCCAACGCAAGGCGAGCGAAAATGAGTCTGCTTCATTTTGGGCAGCTAGGGAAAACGGCGAAATTAAGTGTTCAGTCAAGCCATTGCCTAGGAATTATTGACCATATTTTACTTTAAGCTTTCAAATTATTTATTTAAATCCTATATTTATTTTAAAAATTAATAACCAGTGAATAAGGAATTATTGATGTTTATTTATTAAAATCTTGAAAGATTACTATATTTAAAAATTATTTCTTTAACTTATGACTTGAAATTTAGATATTTCCTTTGAAGAAACCATTTTTCATAAAGACTTGATTGACCGATTTCCTATTTCTTTAACACGTTTAATTAAATTAATAAACAAATTATTTTGCCGATAACGAACATCTTTGTATTTAACAAAGCTTAAACAAATAAATCAAAGAAAAATTATTTGGCTCAAATAAAGGTGAAAACCATAAATCTAAAAATAATTTAGGCTTAACCCTTAGAGGGCAAACAACGGCAGTAGTGACATCATAGCGGAGATAACATAAATGCACTTGCAGTTGAGCACTGCACTCTCACATACACAAGTGCACAAAAGCTGTCTCAATAACAAAACTTGCTCTCTCTCTGCCTCTCTTTACGAAAAGCTCTGGGTTACAACAAATGTGCAAAATAAAAATGCCGGAAGAAACTTGATCTTGATTATTTTCTATGTGAGAGAGCGAGTGCGCAAAAAGTTCAAGTTTAATGTCGCGGCCATTGTTGCGCTCTCTCGCTCGCTCTCTTTGCCCACGTTGTATGTGTTTGTGTATGTGTGAGGTGGGGCGTCACAATTTGCACTATTATTCTTTTTGTTGTTGCTCTTTTGTGTGTGGGCTCGAATGCTTTTTAGATTTTTGATTTGTTCTAAGCG